CTATGTAGGAAAAAAAATTTGGTTCATTTTTATGCATTTTATCAAAAGTTATGATCGATAGAATTACATCAATTTGAATATCGAAAATCACGTGGTCCAATACTTTTGACCGGGGAGTGTTATGTATATACATAGGTTATTATTTATTTATATTTATTTTTTTATTTTATTTTTTTTTTTTTTGAATACATGCCGCAAGATTAATGATTCAAATACAATAAATTTGTAGATTGGATTAATTTTCAAACGAAGACATAAATAAACTTTAGATGTTATAATTCATACTTGTAATCATTAACTGATATATTTACATAATTGCAAAATAAAAAATTAATTATTTTTCGACATTAATATTATCCTTAAAGTTCGGAGTTTAATTAGTCGACGGGTTCAAGTTCGAATATGTTCTAAACCCGACCTGACTCGACCCTTGCGGAGCACTATCTGCAAAATAGGCAATAAGCCGTATTTGTTTCTTATGATTCTCACATCCACTTTTTCGTCTTATTACATACAGACTGCCTCGATATACCATATTCGATATACAGATATAAATTAAAATTTTGATATAACGATAATATTTTATTTCTCATATCCTGCACTAGGCAAGCTAGTTACAAATTTCTAAATATAAAGGATCAAATCAACGGGCCATAGGTTTCTAGATACTGAATATCATAAGAACCATCAATTAGAATTATAGGGTTGGTACAGTACATAGGCATCCCAACCAAGATCATCCAAAAAATACAAAAAATTCAGGACCTTATGAGATAGGTACTATATATACTTGTAAATTACGTTTCCGTTCATGTACTAGGTATTCTAACACTTCATATCTTCTAAAGAAAAGGTTGTAAAAACTAAAGAACTGAATAATATTTATTCTTATTTTTTTTTCTCTCTCTATTTTAACCGACGATCATTTTACCTACACTTACAATTTACTTTGCCGATACGATAAAAAAAAACTCGGTATAGAATTATAAAATTTTTTTTCGGATCAGTGTCCGAATATAGCGACCGACTCCTTATCTCGGCCGTCCCGTGACTAGCATTATTAGGCCGGGCAAAAAATTTTTTTAGGTTCTCATGATTTTTTTATAGTAAAATTTTTTATCACGCGACTTATATAATGAAAAATCGTAATAGCATATACTTTATTATAAAAAAATTTAACATACTATTTTCGTGATTTTTTTGTTAATTGAAACTTGATATTCTTAGCACGGTTTTTTTTTTTGTCCAGAAACTGTCATATAACACTCACAACAATAATAGTAATATCCTTCATTTACCTTACTATTTGCGTAATACAAAACATAATATAAAATACATATAAAAAAAATTTATATATAAAAAAAAAATAACCGGGTGACCGTGTCAATTTTAAAATTTTATGTCACGAGAATTTTTTTTGCCCGGCCTTACGGATAGTGTGTGTGTCCGTGTATCGGTCTAAAAAGCAATTTGTACTCGTATTTTTTTTGTACATTTTCAAATCTCAATTTCCAATTTGCCTCAATTTAAATTGGAGCAATGGTCAACTTTAGGGAATTGAATTTATAGTTGCTAACGTCATGATTTTACATCAATAAATAAAGGTGGTTCGATGTCTAGTAACCTGGAATAAATAAGATTGTCGCACAAACAATTCATATTATTAGTTGTGAAAAGGCCGTATGTAAAGAAATGTAATATTAACAATATAGATTGAAATGGTAAAGGCCAAAACCTCCATCGATCTTTTAAATGTGCTATTGAAATCGAGTTACGAACATAGTTAATTATACGGTATGATCCGTAACGTGATTTCAATAGCAAACCTCCTATTTTCAATTTCTTCTGCCTTTACAAAACCTCATATAAAATTGCTCAGCTTAATTTTATTTTGATCCTTCAACATACCATACCATATTGGACCTTTACAATAAAAGGCGGTAAAAACCAAATTTACTTCATGTCAAATATCCGGAATTAGAATTTGTCTCGCCACTCCATATAACTTTACTCTAATCATCAAATCTTCAAATACGATCTTTTTAGAAAATTCATATCATGGCTTTTTAATTTTAGATTTTAATTCGTTTCCTAAATGCATGTCGAACAGTTGTAGAGAAATCTTCAATTCATACTAAGTGAAGTTTTTTTTTTTTGAACTTATGTAGCAGTTGAACATTCAACGCTTATAATATACATAACGGTCCGACGTTCCGTACATGTACACTGTGTTAATTGACTTTGTTAAGGTCTTTAGTTTCTGATAGTGCTTCGAATCGATCCGGGTCATTCGACCCGACTCGAGAATTAATTCGAGTCGGGTTATCATTATTATGACACGAGTCCTAATTTAATAAAACCCGTCGGGTCAGGGTCATGGTTTTGTTCGACCCGGATGATCTGATTATTTTTCGTTTTACGTTATGCGACTTCTATATGTTAAGTAATATTAAAATAGAATGAATTGTAAAAGATAAAAAATATCGGGAAAATAAAAGTCATTATTGCGGCGTAGTCGGCAATCATAATGGAATAGTTTCAAAAACAAAATTTGTCTTAAATGAGAGTAGTATAAACAAAGAATTTGATCACATTAGCGATACAATCTTACAATTTAATATCTCGTAAAATTAACGAGACATTTTATTAACGTTAAAGAACTAAATATGTATAGCGAGACATAATTCTTGACTTATAATTTTGCTCAGCGTAAGCAGGGCGTGTAGTACTCGTAAATCTTTTCAAATATGCTCTATTTTTAAAGAATTTACAAAGAGGAGAATCTTAGTATTAAAGAATTTCTCCGCTATCATCTTCCAATGAAGTTTTTCAACACCAATAGAACCGTTTTCAGCCTCTTCAAATGAAATATCGCGTTTTTTATAAAAATAGATAAAATCATTCTATTACAGCATTATCCTCGACTACCGACATTATAGATTAAGAAGCAATTGAGTAATTCAAAATTTGAAATAAATATGTATAACAATAAGCTAACCGATTTCTTTATTATATAATGGAGGGGTGATTTTAATATCTTACTATTTTAGTCGATCCCGAAAAAAAAAAAGTTTTTCTATTTATGGTGTTTAATACCATACCATTCGCAAATTTACAAATTTATTTTTATTTTGTCAAACAAAAAGGTTTTTAGTTAGATTATCCACAAATTGTGAACAATAGCTAAAGCATCACGAATATCAACGTACTCAATCATATATTATAAAAAATAAAAAAAAAATATATAACCTTTACCTCCTGTATAAAAAATGTGAATTGTGTAACATGTATTTTCATTAGATCGAAGAAACATATCGTAACCAATTTTCCTTTTTTGGCTTAGAATCAATTTTTAACTTTGTCACTGAAACAGCCAATATACAGTATATGACATAACATCTTAGCAGTATGTAATACAATCGGGCTTGCATCGGGTTTCATTATGATTTATCCTTCAGTTTGTGACCGCGGGTTGTTAACTTTGTTTTTAATTTTTGCTTTTTTCGATTACTTTTTCACGATAGAGGATCGGCTTAGGCTGTGGGTTGGTAGGTTGATGATTTTTTTTTTTTTTTTTAGTTGAAGATTAATAAATTACCAGATATTACTATTAATTCACTGGATGCTTTTGTATTTGAGCCGGGAGCAGCGCGGCAGGTTATTGCTAGTTTTCTTATAAAAAAAAAAAATTGCCTCTTCCAACTCATTAGTTCAAAAAATGTTATAATGGTCGGTAAACTTCAAATCATTAATAAGCGTATGATTAATTGATATCATTATTATTTTATTTTTTATTATTAATGAGGGGTCAGCATTTTGTGGTATCCCAACGTTTGGCGTAAAGATTGTAATTGTAGTTTGCATGTTGATTGATGCATAAATTTTCTATTTAAGATTATTCAAACGAACGTTTGTTTGACAGATCAGATAAGAAATAAAGTTGTAAAATTACGAAGGTATGAAACACCATAAATAGAAAAACTTTAATTTTTTTTTTTCAGTCATTAATGAGGCTGCAAAAAGCATGAAAACATGACGCCAATAATGACTTACTATAATTGTGTTGAACCTTAATGAAATAGTAAAGTTGCTTTAATAAATCATCAATTTCTGAAATCAATTTACGTTCCTGATTCTGTTAATCGTAAGACCTCCTGAATAACTATTTAAACGAACTATTTTTTACGTTTCTAACTCACTCACTCTCTTTCTTTTGTAATTATTTTCTCGAAAATGAGAATCAAGAGAGAATGGATAGACTCATCTAGTGGCGAAAACCTATTACCAAATCTTGAGTATTGGCGAAAGATCACTAAACCAACTTATCTTAGTTACTTAAAGCATCGTAACAGAACAGAACAGGTATGGAAATTGCCTTTTGTTTAAACTTATTGTATACGCTCTGAACACAATTAAAATCGCTTGTTCAATTCAACAAATTCTTCTGGCGGAATGTAGGCGTTCAATAAAGAAAGTGTACTCTCAATACATAAAAGAATTAGAAGTACTTAAAGCAAATTATACATCTGGATACCACTCGGGGATTTTTAAAGGGCCTTAGATAAAGCAAGGGTATGTGCTGAATACTGAAAACAATTTACGTCAGCACAAGCAATCATTTGGGAGGATTGCTATTTAAAACACATTACGGATCATATGATTTACTACTATATTCGTAACTCGATTTTAATAGAAAACCTCCCATTTGTGTTCCCCTCTGAATAGAATTGTTGTGATAAAATAATTCTTTTAAATGTATCTTCAGCAAATTAATTTTACTATTCTTTTTGACCATACCATAACTAACCTTTCATTTTTAGGTTCAAAAAACATCCCCACAAGTTGAAAATATTTTGAATCAAAGGATATTATTGATGATGAAGACGAACAAAGTATCATTGAGGAAATTTTGGTAATTATATGTAGTTATTGATGCATTATATGAGATAATTATCTATAAATCTGATTGTTAACACATTAACAGAATCTTTCTACGTTAGAAACAGAAATCTCAGGTGAATCTTTCAAACAGAATCGTGAAATAGAAGACGATCAAATAGTAGCAGTGTGTATGCGCATTCTTCTTGTAAATGTACAAAATAGGGAATGTATTTATAGTATTATTTCTATAGGACCTGTCACTAAAGATTTGTTTGAATCTGAATTTCACTGTTCTGACAATATGATGTCGATCTGTCAATACCACAATGAAATCTGCCCAAATGATCCTCTGATTAATTTGAGGTCCAATTCAAATTTTACAAAACAATTACCTTCAAACATTCTTGCAATTTATCTTAATGATCTCGATGACAAGATCAAAAGTTTGATTCCATCCAACATTCACAACTTTTAACTAAATTATTCAGTCAGAATTTAATGGGCAGTGATTGGAATGATAAGATTGATGATCTACAATGGATAAAAATGATCATTTAATGGTTTCAACAATACGAATCTTACGCAGGACTTTACCAATTTTGTAAGTACATACATTTTCCTACAAATTATTGAAGTAGTTACGGCATTTATTTAACTTTTATAGTATTTTGGAATTTTCACTAGTCCTCTTTTTAATTTGACTGCCTTAAAAAGAACGCATTTAAATGAATTTGTGCACCCATATTTGCAAGTCAGCCTAACATATCATCTATAAATTACGAGTTCGGAGAAATAACTATGAATAACGATTTACAGAAATACGCAGATGGTTTAGGATATTTAGACAAATATCAATTAGTTTATATGGAAGGTTTGAAGCCAAACAACAAAGATGAGAAAGTGATTGCAGATGCTTCGAAAATCTCCAAAAACCTACAAAACATTTTTTTAAGCATGGTCAATGATAATGTAAAGTACAGGATACGACTACCCAAATTTCTGGCCATCTTTGGTGGTGGTCAAAGTTTTCTAAACCGAATTCATTTGCAATTTATTGATTACTGTGGTATGTCATTTATTTTTTCAGTTCATTATATTGACTAATGATATTCTAATCTTAGGAGGAGGAAAATTCCACCTTAATGAAGTAGACAACGCCAAACTACCACGCGACTTTACAGAGATGGGGGATTTCATATTCTTTTACGAATGTATTATAAAGTGGGCTGTAAGTCTCTTTTTATTACAATAAATTACTTACATTAACATTATTAATATTAAATTCCGAATTTAGTTGCTAGCTCGAGAAGTTAAAGAAGCTTTTGAGGAATATGAGCAAAACACTGAAGATGCTTTATCATTTGTGAATGATAAAAAAGCGAATCCTTTTTTTTTTTTTAAAAAAAAAAAAATTTATATATTTTTTCAATTAATTTATTGTTTTCAATACTGTGAAATTTTAACGATCATTTCGTTTATTTGATTATTTTCTAATTATGCTTCTTTATATATGAACATTTTTATTTGTATTTACCATTTAATATATTTTAGCACTAAGGACTATGGTTTGTATACTTAATTCATTGCTTTTTCAGTTCTTCAAATATTTTATTATTACCCTTCCTTTTACATTTGGTATTAGGGCATTGGACGGGTAATTTTTTTAATATGATACGCCATTTTGCGCAGTAAACGCAAAGCATTTTGCGAAAATTACAAATAAATTAGTTTAAAAATTCGTTTTTTTAATAAATTACTTCGTTCATTCGGAATTTCTTATAACATTTAATTTAAAGTAAATTATTATATTATTTGTTTTATTCGCTAAATAAAATAACAAATATTGAGAGGACATTTGTATTGACAAATATTACATAACAATCAATATTTAAAATTGAAAATCAAGAATTATTATGCAATCAGAAAATCAGAATAACTTTTATGGCGTTATCCAAATATCTTTACTATTATAAAATTTAATGTTTGTGATTTGGTACAATTAGCCGAAATTCAAAAAATTCTCTTGATGATAAAAGAAACTTTTCGAAAATTATTTTTGCTGTCAAAATGTTGCTTAACAATAACGTAATCTGATGTAATGATGTAATCACTTATTATTAGATCAAAGAACTCCTTTAAAAATAAAATGTCAACTTTAATGAAATAAAAGTATGGACGCAGTTAAAGATATAAAGTAAATTCAAAGAATTACAACAACAAGATAATTCAAATAAATCTGAAATTTATTAAACTACCAATATGGGATAAAAATTAATCCAGATGAAAAATCCATATATCAACAGTATCGATTATTTGCGAAAAGAGGAATATTGTAGCACATTACAACGTAGGACGTTGTTTTCAAAATGGTAAATGAATGCAAAGATGAGAGAAAGGCTTTTAAATGGTATTTGAAATCTGCTGAAAATAGACATTTGAATTGTCAAATTAATTGGAATGTTACGAATATGAAATTGGAACGAATAAAAATGAAGGAAAAGCTTTTGAATGGTATTTGAAATCAAAAGAAACCGCTGAAAATGGAAATCCTGGTGGTCAAAATAGTTTGAGACGTTTTTTGAATATGAAATTGGAAAAATATAAAGATGAAGAAAAAGCATTTGAAAGATATTTGAAATACTAATTCTGATGGTCAAGTTATTGTATTTGGAAAAAAAAAAAATAAGGAGAAATTTAAAATGTTGTGTGGTATTTAAAGTTACAATTTAAATTAGGAATATACTCAAATTATATTTATTAGTATTATAAATGAATTATCTGTTTTTTTTTTTTCATTTGAAATAAATATACAAAATTAATTCAATTATGTATGTTTAAAGAAATCAAAATCTGCTTTTTCAGAAAATTACATACATGATGCATCGAGTTTGAATTCTATTCAGATTGGAATTATTTTTTCATAATTTTGGGGTCAAATGATTGATTACAGTATATAAAATTAATTTAGTTAAACTTTGATCAATGCGTGATTTTATTTTCGTTAAAAAAAAAAATTAATTGTTTTAGCGGCGCATCACTATCCGAAAAATCAATAGATGGTAACCTAAATTTTCTATTATTACACAGCTACCACAGTGAAGTCAATCTTAGATAAGTGCGCAGACGTGATTCATCAAATGAGCAATTACTAGTTAAAGTAGGAAACACCTACACTTCGACATTTATAATTTTTCTATGGTTACGCAAGTATCACCATTGTTACAGTAATAAGGAAAAGGCGTTTGAATTATATAAAATAGCTGCTAAAGGAGATGTGGGAACAGAACAAATGTAGATGTTCCATTTATTGCATTAAGATTAATACATTAATTGTTTTTTAATTTTTTTATGTGAGATTTAAGAAATTAAGATATGTACTAATTTTCGATAGTTTTATTTTCATCTCTGCCGTGATGGTTAATTCATTTTCAATTACGGTTTGAGAATGTATTTAAGTAATAAAACTTAAAAAGATAAAATTTACTATTAATAAATTATTTTGAAAAGTTAAGTTAATTAAAAGTATTTTATACCAAGAAGTTCTTTCTACATATCTGAGTTCCAAGTTCCTTCAACAATAGATTTCTTCACAATTTTTGACGAGTTTTATCAACACTAACATGATAATAACTACAAATAATTTCACCGATCATAAGTTTCGATACTTTTTTTTAAAAAGTGACATAATTACATGATATCAGGAAACCATAATCTCCAATGCCTTTAATTTGGAAACAAATAAAATAATTCATTTTCTTAAATGATATATATCAAAAAAAAAAAAAATAATAATAAAATAAATATAATAAACAAATATAAAGACCAATCGTTAATTCTTGTCATCGAAAACTTAAACTGAATTATAATCTACTGACCTCTGCTTTTGTGCCAAATAAGATGCCCGGTCATTATCTGCCTCAATTGTAATTCATAAGGAATACAACAACAGTAAACGAAAATTTGAACATCAAGACGACCATAGTTTTATTATTTTATGGAGGCCATTTAGTTAATGAATTTTTATGTTCTGTATAGATTTTGGTAAAAATAAATAAATATATATATAAAAAGGCAACAATTAGTTTATTCAAATTTCCAAAATAAACGCAAAAGGTTTCATAATAATATAAATATTACTTCTTAGGTTCTCTTGAAAATATTAAACGGTCTTGTTGAAAATTGTACCTACTAAAGCTATATTATTCTGCTTGATTATTGCTTCTCCATATAATACAAAATAATATCTGGTGTTAATAAATGATCAATCCATTGCTTCTTTAATTCATTCACTGAATGCTTTGCGATACAATAATTTCTAAAAGATATATGTTTCCAATAATTTTGAAAATATTATATAGGTGAGCCATTATCTTTCTTTTTAATTTAAATTTATATTCGTTTTGTCCAATAATTCGCTGAAACTAATTAAACTTTTTTAAATTTGATTTCCAAAAATAATATTAACGATGTAATTACTCGATAATGTAATCACAAACTCATCGTTGCTACCGATAAAGTCAAATTCTTGACAAACTAACAAACACAAATATAAATTATCACCAGATATCAAAAATATTTCAAATACTTATAAAGGTGTATTTTGATTATTACCAATTGGAAAATTCATGTTGTTAGAATATATATAATATATATAATTTCCGAGATCTTAAATATATCTGTACAACGTCTAGAAACTTTTCCTTTTAAAGACAAATATTCATTGTATTACAAAATATATTGGTACTAACAAAAAGTGAAAATGTTTGAAATTGAAAGGTGGATAAATCCAACAGATATATAGAAAGAATCATCCACATCTTGTCATTTATAATACCGCCAAAGATTACGTCCTTTCATTGAATTTGTATTCTTAATTGAAATGATATAATAAGATATGTTAAAAGGCTATTATTATAAATGTGACACTGTTACTAAGAAACCTGTGTATCTGTAATCACAGCCACAGTATTGGACTTTGCATCTCTTTTATTCTTAAAATCATAGAATTTTCCTAAAAATAACAAGCTTTAATTAAAAAAAAATTGCTTGTCATTGATTAGCGATAAATTGAATCTTACATCAATCATTACTTTCATATAAAAGAAACTTTTCATCAGATCTTAATATCACAAATATTTTGTTCTGATAATAATAGTTTGACCAATAGTAAGCGGACCCGAAGTATCATTGATAACGATTTGTCTACTTGACTATATGTCAAGATGTATTTAGATTGTGGAGTTATGGCCATTTTAGATATTGGTTTACCATTGTGTATTGAACGTTCTTTAAATAACATTTCAATATCGAATGGAATTTCTCCTTTATATTTAATTGGATCAAACCCGAATTAGAAGACCATACTTCATTAGAATTAGAATTTCTATTTTCGGGATCATCAATAACTTTAACATTTGAGAAACATTATAAAGTCATGAGAACTGTAGAAAATGTATAAATTAGAATAAAGTTAATAGGGAAAATAAACAATAATTATGAATAAAAGAACTAGAGTATAACGCAACGAATTGTGTTCTGTGTATTGTATAGAAAAAAGAGTCATTCAGATGATAAGAAATTCATCTAAACAAAACATGAAAAATTTATCTTAATCTATTACCAATATTTAGGTATAATTAAAAATTATAATGAAAAACTTCTAAGAGAGCGAATTTTTAATAGTATCCAAAAAAATTATCATTTGTAGTGTTTTTGAGAAAATTTTCTTAGCCTGCCAATTTACTACATTTTAATTCGATTATGCGTTTAAATTGCATATGGGCGGAACGGATCTGAAGGAAAATTATAATTAGGCAATTCATTTATTATCCGAAGCACTTTTAATATGGCACGATCATGCAATGTCCGTGTATCCAGTTCGCTTGAAAATTGTATCACAAAAACTGAAAATCATAATGATGTTACGTAGTGCAACAGTTTTCCTAGTATATTATATTTTAGAGACAAATTTATTTTTGCTTCTCCTTTATTGCATTAATTTAAAAAAATAATGTTTGAGTTTTTTTAAATGATAACGATAATCACTTAAAATTCAAATTTATAACAATAAAGTAAAATTTTATTTTTAAAAATAAAATTTCTCATGCAACATAAAAAATAATTTCCGGTTAATTAATGCGCTACTGAGATAACTATATGGGACAATTGCAATAGAAGGGAGGAAACAAATCAATTTTACTTTTATATGACATGATCAGATTTAGCATTAACTCATTTTATGTTTTTCCAGCCGTTTCTCCGTTTTCTATTGTAAAGGACTCATATCATCGTTATTCTCATACACCCTTTGAGAATTAGATCATTTCCCGTGAGTAACCAGCCTAATTGACATTAATTTCTATTAAAATTATCCATCATTATTACATTCCTATTCCAAAAGAGTTAATTTATATGAAACTATATTATGTTGTTTTATAATAAATTCATTCAGTATGGATTACTAATACATTATTTATTGTATTTAGCTTGAGTTGATTAAATGTTTAGATAATCCTTTGAGAAGTTATAATTTTTTAAAGCTATAAGTGTTTTTTTAATTTAATTTTTATTTAACAGATAAACATCAAAATATTAATTTTTCTAAAATATTACTTTTTTTTAAACATAATCAACTTCGATAGATTTTTAATGAAATAAATTAGTGAATTTCGTGTTTCCAAAAATAAAAAAAATTTATATTTATTTTTATCGTACCCGAAACAACTTTCTAAATAAAGGGTATTGTGGTATCCAGTTCATTACGTTTATATTTATAATAACTGTAAGAAGGATATTATTAATAAGCAATTAAATAATATTATTACACCATAATTATTTAATAAACTTATTAATCATTGCTTCAACGTAGGTGTTCTACACGTTCGCAATTTCAATTTTTATTAATTCAATAAATGATAATCACATAAATTTACAATATATAATAAAATACTATTAAAAGGTCAAAAGCGAGGTATTGGGAGAGAATTAAAAAAAAAAAAAAATCTTGCTAAAAGAAACCGATTGTATATAAAATTTAATCTTTCCGTTTTCTGGAATACAACAATAATAATCTCTTCTAAGTATCGTCGGCCTCATTTTGAAACTAGCTTGAGACAATGGACAAATCGTCCGAAACCTGTAGTTTAGAAAAGAAAAATTTTCGTCTGGCGTGGAATTATATCAAAATAAAGATATCAATGTAAGTTATGTAAGTTTCATTTTCGGTTAATTCGTCATCAGAATAATTACGCAGATTACTAAATGCAACAGATGTAATTGTAATCACCTGATTCTGAATCAGAAAATAAATTTACCCCAGTATCACCGACACTTTTCACTAGCACATATCATTTGGCCGGCATTATTGAATTAAGAAATTAACCATGTGATGAATAATTATGTGATAAATGCCGAAAATATTTTACTTACGGTAATAGACACGGTGTGACAAATGTTTCACTATGATCATGTGGTGTGAAATAGTGTCGGTGATATTTCACATGATTGATTCATCAAAAACTCGTTTCATCATTAAAAATATTTTTATTGATAAATTTTGTTTCGAAAAATTATGTGATAAACTATAAGGATAAATTTGAGTAAGGCACAATTTATTAATAAACTTTGCGTAAAAATTATAGAATAATTAAAATTTTATTATTATTCTTACGTAATAATAGTAAGAAAAATAAAAGGCATAAAGTATAGCTGAATTTCAATTATTGGCTAGAACTAAGAGCCAATTTAGAGAGGCTTTTTTTCGCGATACGAAATGATCGAATTTTTTGGGAACCTCTTTTAGGAGCATAGTGCTTAGTATTTTGTCACATAATTCATGAGACTTCTTTACGAGATGAATGAAATTTGCGGTCCGTTTTTTAGTTAATTTGGAAGTTGATTAAACCTTTTTTATTAAAGTGTATGATTAAATATTAGTACATTCTTTTTTTAATAATATAAATTAATGAGTTATAAACGATGAAAATTCACATGGATTTATTTAGGTGAACTGTATACGAATCAATGTTCAATTATATTTTATTGAGTAATGAATAGTGACTCATCTTATTTGCATCTTTTTGAATACTTTTCGAGAGCTTGCATCTCTTTCCCGGAAATTGCAATGACTGTACTCATCGATAAGAACATGAACTTTTGATTTTAATTTACGTAGTAAATGTTGTGACAAATAATTTATTTGTTTATGCGATAACATGTTAACATTCTTCCATTATGTTTCGTATCGCATTATTTGTCGCAGCCGACTCTATAACTTTAAGATTTTAATTAAAAGATAAAATATCACTCTCTAAAAATGAATCAGAATTGTCACGGATTTTTAAAAAAAAAGTAATATTCACCTTGATTTAGCATATTTATGAGAATTTTCTTTATTTTCAGTAACTGAAATATACTTTATTATCACAAAGCTCTTATTAATATATCATTATTAATCTAAAAACCGAAAATTAAATATGGGATTGTGAATCAATTGAATTATTAAACTTTCTGCGACAGTAAAGGAGGAATTATCATAAGTCAAAAATCCATTGTCAATAAATAAAAAAATAATGATTCCTAAAGTGATCGAAGAACCTAAGGTAAAAAAAATAATTAAATCAATAGGCCAGAATATTTTCGATTGCTACGGTAAAAAGCGAATTACTAAAATAAAAATAAAAATGAAATGAAAACTAAAAACAAAATAGAAACAAAACAAAAAAAAATAAAATAAAAGCAATTAGACCAACCCTCCGAAAAAAAGACCTAAAAAGTAAAAAAAAAAAAAAAAATGATCAAAATAAAAATAAAGGGAAAATAAGATCATCCTATTATTACGGCTCAAAGAAAATTTGACAGAATATTGGAAGCAGTTTCATCAATAAATAGGGTCTTATTTAATCGAGATCCTTGTGATTTTAGACCTATTCAACATGACTTTGTATATAAACTGGTATAAGTATAAGTGTATTAATTCAGTATTCAAGTCTAAAAATTGTTAACTTCAATATCTAAACTAGCAGCAACAGATCTAACAGAAAGTGAGAGCTGCCTTCAAATATATTGTTTAATTCCTCAAGATGCATATGATGTTATTTTTTTTTAATACAGCCATTACCATCTTTTTGCTTTATATTCCAGTATCTCTAATTTTTTTAAGGTTCGGTAGATTTTTTTAAGTGGATCTTTTTCAATGAGTGTATTATTTGTTTTCTGCATCCTGTTTGATGTTGAGGTTTCTTGTTTAGATGAAATCATTTAATACTTGATAATATATAGACTTTATTAAAGTTTAAAAAAACTTCACTTTGAGATGGTAGAATTATGTTTAAATTTATAAACAAATTTAAATGTAAGCAGAAGGTTTTATTAATTAAATTATGTAACAATATGATGTAATTGTATGATGTAAAAGACATAATATAAAATAATTAATTATTGTTAGCTTATCATCGGTATTCTACACTTTCAAAATTAATTAAAATTATGAAAAAAATAATAATCAGACAAATAAAACATGAAAAATAATGAAGTACAAAGTTTCAACGAAAAAATAATAAATTTAAAATAATTAAAGCAAGTAAAGGATATATGAATCAAAGAAAAGAGATCTGTAAAAATCACGATTGGTATAATTATATTCAATTTAACAATCATTTTCTAAAAAAATTTTACTGTTGCAATTTACACTAAATATCGTCCCTTTATTTAATTGACAAATCCAAATATTATTTTCCTTATAAGTAATTTTTCAGACTAACAAAAAAAAAAATAATTCAGAAAATATAAAAATAATATTCTACTTTATTCTTTAATTGATAAAAAAAGAGCATTAGGATTATGATTTCGTGACAATTTATGAACAATTAGGAGGTTTACTATTAAAATCACAGAGATTTGATGATTTACTATTTTTCATAACCTGATCTTAAACAATTTATAAAGCAACTTATCAATTAAGCTTTGGTAACTAAGAAAAGTAATTCCTTGTATTTCTAATATTGTGATAATCAAATTTTAAAAATTCACATTTACTATAAGTCTGAATTATAAAATTAAGATCATTAAAGTTAATTCTAATTAGTTGTTAATGTATTTAATTTGGTGTGGTGAAAATGAATATTTGAATGAAAGAGGACTAAAGAGAATTATTATACTGTACAAGATCATAAAAGGTTTACCTAAATCTTCACAAAATAAATATTTATTATTTGGATTATTAATATACTGCAGAGGATACATTCTCTAATCCTTATTACAGAAGATTATAGGTATCAAAAATTTTTAAAAGTAATTGTAAAATGCAAAACGTGAGTGTGATTAAAAGTATCACATTTTCAACAAAAATAGCCAATTCCTATTTTCCAAATAATGAAAATTCGCTTTGCGTTTATGTTTACTAGATAATTTTTTGCATTAACTAATTTTAGATTCTCATAATTTTTTTTATTGCTTACC